AGATTAGTCAATAAATGCCTCAGTCTCGCTCATTCTAATCATCGATTCGGGAGATTTTAGTCTCGCAGCAGAAACATGCCTGAACCAGCAAAGTCCGCGCCTAAGAAAGGCTCCAAGAAGGCCGTCACTAAGACCGCCGCGAAGGGAGGAAAGAAGCGCAGAAAGTCCAGGAAGGAGAGCTACGCCATCTACGTCTACAAAGTGCTGAAGCAGGTTCATCCTGACACCGGGATCTCTTCGAAGGCGATGGGCATCATGAACTCTTTCGTCAACGACATCTTCGAGCGCATCGCCGGTGAAGCGTCTCGTCTCGCTCACTACAACAAGCGCTCCACCATCACTTCCCGGGAGATCCAGACCGCCGTGCGTCTGCTGCTGCCCGGGGAGCTGGCCAAACACGCCGTGTCTGAGGGCACCAAGGCCGTCACCAAGTACACCAGCTCCAAGTAGAGCTCCGCTCCAGCTCTCACACCCAAAGGCTCTTTTAAGAGCCACCCATTTTCTCACTGAAAGGGCAGCTGATGTTAATATTTTAGTTTTAAGCTTCAAACATGAATGGAATGAAGTGTTTGCTTAATCATAGAAGCTGAACCCGCGTACTGCAACTTCAGAATCGATCGAGATGACACTACAACGCTTTTGTTTAAGAATCAAAGTGCAACAGTTGTTTGAATTAATGCTTATTAGTGAAGATCAAGTGTTACTCACGTATTTGATAGATACGCTTTTATGTGTGATAGTGTATCACCGTAAACTCATTTTAAAAAAAAAATTGCATTTGGGCTTTACTTAAATTTGTTTCAAATAAAAAAATATATGTATTTGTTCTAATGCAAATTTATTTTGGCTTTAAGTTTAACCTTGCAAGTGAACTCGAAGATTTATCTTCTCGGACTGTGTTCAATCTGATATCATTGTTTATTAGTATGGAGCAGAGTCCTGCAAACGTTTTCTATGTACTTACTATCGTCCCAGAAGATGATGACCGAAGTATCCGAGACCGAATACAGAGACAAAAAAAACAGCTCTAAATATTACCCAGCTTATTATTGTACCACAGATTATGTGGATCAGCTGCCATTAAGATAAAGTTATTCATATTTCAGAGAAACTCTAAAAAATATATATATATATATTTAGGACTTAAAGCTGAATATATGGCATGCTACGTTTGTCAACTTTTCTTAATCTTCTTTATACACTTGCATTTCATTTTGTATCTAGATTCTGTTTGTGTTGTATTTCTATATTCTTATATTCATGAAGTCCATGCACGAGTTCTGTATTTGAATAGTTGCTTTTTGTTTCACATTCTTGTATTTCGCTTAAAAGAAAACTCGAAACAAACAATCAATCAATCCTTTTTCTTTTTTTTTTTGCTTCCAAGTGTATACAGATATTTAGATGTTAATAATAAATGATTTGGCCACCAAATGGTTGATTTTTTAAAGTTATGAACCTATGTTTTATTATACATTTTCAACACAATTTCTTAAATTGTTAAAAAAAATTCCCCTCTCATCATCATCTTGATGAAAGAAAAGGCTAAATGTACTGGAACTTGGAAAAAAGTGCTGCTCTCGAGTAATCGTAAAGCCCTAAGTGCATCGTAAGAAAGACAGAGTTATGCGGTCACCTGCAGGACAATCGGCAGATTACACCTTTAACTTTATTCAAGTGCAATGTGATTATAATATAAGGATTTCATTGTACTTTATTGTACACTTTATTACTCGTTTTGTTGTTGTTTTAAATGAATTTATAAATGAAACAATTAAAAAGGGCAGAAAAAAATAGAACATCAAAATACACATCTAAATTAAATGACTGAACAAAAAAAAAAAGACAAATAAATAATGTAGTAAATATACTTCAAAGATGGGGGGGTGGGGGGGGTGTATCTGTCAATGACTTGCACGAAAACCAGCAACGTACTGGACCCGATTTTTATATAAAGTATATTATTATGTAAAGAATAACATATGTATAATAAAATATAATTATATTGTATTATATTATATTATAATATTTATTATATCCGAGTTGTCTGGATCGCAGCATTAGGTTAACATTTCAATAAACAAGCGTGTACTACAATTTCGAGACATTCTATAAGGTGACATTTCAGCACTCCTAAGTAGCACTTAAAGGGATAGTTTACCCAAAAACGAAAATTTGATGTTTATCGGCTTACCCCCAGGGCATCCAAGATGTAGGTGACTTTGTTTCTTCAGTAGAACACATATGATGATTTTTAACTTTAACCGTTGCAGTCTATCAGTCGTATAATGCATGGCAATGGTAACAAAATCTATGAGAGTAAAAAAAAACATGCACAGAAAAATCCAAATTAAACCCTGCGGCTCGTGACGACACATTGATGTCCTAAGACACGAAACGATCGGTTTGTGCGAGAAACCGAACAGTATTTATATAATTTTTTTACCTCTAAAACACCACTATGTCCAACTGGACACCTGAACACACCCATTAACGTAAACTACACCAGAGCGCGTACACACCCCACGCACCGGATGCCGTGCGCGCTCATGGCAGTTGGACATAGTGGTGTATTAGAGGTAAAAAAATATATATAAATAATGTTCAGTTATTCGCACACACCTACATCTTGGATGCCCTGGGGGTAAGCAGATAAACATCAAATATTCATTTTTGGGTGAACTATCCCTTTAAAGCATGGCTTTGTTCAGTGCACTGGTTGTTGATTGGCGTTGTGGGGTTTAAATGGCACTGAATGATTGGAGAAGTCTGTCGTTTTCACCAGAAAGACCAAGTTTTTAAGTTTTGAATAAACATGACAAGGCCGGACGGACATTAATATAAAAATCTTGAGGGTCATGAGGTTCCAGATGCCAGAACTTGAGACTTGAAGACAAAGCCAAGACGCCAGCTGTACATAGAACAATCCCGGTCAGATTTTCCACTTTATTACAAAGCAGAACCTGAGACTTCATCTTCAAACACTCGCTACCACTATCTCACTCGACAGGCAGGTACAGCGTGTTTGATTCACACTGTTTTTATTGTGCTGTGTGAGACGGAGAGACTCGCAGCGGCCTAAAGTTTCCTGTGTTCATTCATATGTAAGACGGTAGAACAGCCTGGGAACTATGTGTTACTCCTCCTTCAAGCAAGGGTGACCACAAAAAACTAGCAATCATAAACTTACATCACAAAAAAAACGTTTACTAATACAAATGAACCAGTATAACAAAATAAACGCAAACAAAATACATCATATAACAGAAATTAATTTCTCCTCATAAAAAGAATATTAATAGCCAGCCAACCCTCTATAAACCCCAATACAATCCAAGCTTCTCTGCACAAATTAATTCAAAAAGAAAAAAAGGAAATTTCATAAACACCCTTCAATTCCTACTACATGCAAGACACACCTCACTCAAAAGAAGTACTCCAAATCAACGGTTAATATCACTGCAAACATAACCCTCATGCAAATAAATAATGCATGTGTTTCAAAGCATCAACATGTATAAACGGTACAAAGGTTGGTTGGCAACACGAGGCTGGAAGTGATGTACAAATAAGAAAACCAAACAAACAAGAAAGAAAATAAAACACTCTGCTAGCCAGTCCGATTCTCAACAATCATCAAATCTTAATTGCACTGGAAGCATACAGCGTGCACATACAAGGACCGGCTAGCTGAGGAAATACAACATAACAAACACGGGAGGAACAGCGATCAACTAAACCTAATACAAAAAAACAAATAACCAAACACAATTAACAACATTCAAGGAAAAATGACTCTAATTTTAAATTTTTATTTTAATCTCATTAAAATAATAAAAGCAAAACGCTTACAAATCCTACATAAAAACCTCTACAATTACCTGCAACACCGCCATCAATGATGGACCTGCTTCACAGGCCCTGCCTGAGACACAGGAGCCACGGAATATACAGCACCCTGTTCTCCTGATTCACACACCACCTTATACAAACATGAATCATACACATCCTGAATTTTATTTCGCCCACGATAATGGTTTTTGAGGTAGACCAACTCACCCTTTCTAAAACCATGGTCATTTATTCCACCCTGATAGCATCTGTTACGACGAGCAACCTTTTCTTTCAGCCTCTCCTGCACCTCACTATGTGCTGCCCAAAGCCTACCTTGATGTTCGACAATCCACTGTTCAGGCGTCTCTACAGTCTCTTCCAACTGATTGTTTAACAAGAAATCAACCGGCAATTTGGGTTCACATCCAAACATTAAGAAATGTGGGCTCATACCAGTAGAATAATGCACTGTGGTATTATAAGCATAGACAAGCTGTGGCAGATGTTGAGGCCACCCCTTCTTTTTCTCTGGGGGCAAAGTCTGCAACAGGTCATGGAGAGTCCGATTAAAACGTTCGCACTGCCCATTACCCTGCGGATGTTACGGAGTTGTGCGACTCTTCTGTACACCATAAACCTTACATAACTGACCAATAAGGTTACTTTCAAAATTTCGCCCTTGGTCTGAATGTAGACGACATGGGACCCCAAACAAATGAAACCAATGCCGAACCAAAGCCTCTGCCACAGTGCTTGCTCGCTGATCCCGAGTCGGGATAGCTTGCGTAAACTTAGAAAAAACATCAGTGAGCACCAAAACATTCTCCCTCCCATCACTTGCTGGCTCTAACAAGGTAAAATCAATGGCCAACATTTCGTGAGGGCGGGATGCTTGTAACGTTCCCATAAAAGATCTCACCCTCGGTTGGACTGCTTTAGCGAGAATACACCGCTGACATTCCCTACACCATCGTTCCACATCTCTCATCATCCCTGGCCAATAACAATGACACTTCACTAATTCTGCCGTTCGATCTTTACCTTGATGCCCATGACTGTCATGCAAACTGCTGAACACCTCCCTTTGAAGGTTTTGAGGTAACAGCAACTGATAGATCTCTCGATGACCATCAGGTGTATACGAGAAACGATAAAGGCACCCATCCTTCTCACACAATCGATCCCACTGCCTAACCAGGTCCTTTACAGCTTGATCCCTACCAGTCAACTCTGAAGAATGTAAAACACTGCCCACATTCCAAGCCTTTATAATAGGGCCAATAATTGGGTCTGTCTTCTGCAGGTAAGAGAGATCTTCCTGTGAATGTCCAGGCAATGCAGCAACTTCACTGACACTCACCACAATCTGTTCTGGAGCTCATTCCCTCAACTGCTGCTGTAAGAATTTGGGAAGTTCTGTTCCTGGCAATACATCATTTATGGCCTGCCGAAACAACGCATCTGCATTTTGATTTACCCTTCCTGGTCGGTACTTGATCCCAAAATTAAAAGAGGCCAGCTGTGATAAACACCGCTGCTCTAAAGTGCCCAACTTTGAGGTCTGCAAGTGACAGAGAGGATTATTGTCGGTGTAAACAACAAAATTATTCCCCAACAAATATTCCCTAAACTTATCACGTACAGCCCATTTCAGGGCCAAA